CCAGCACATATTGCAAATCCTTGTCTTGATATATGACATTGATATATGCCTATGCTAAGCGCGCTGTGTGCGGTTATCGCGTCTATATTCCGCGCTTAAATCCGAAGTTCCTGTTCACGTCTCAGACGCCCAAAAAATCCTCCCTCCCCGCCCTCATCATCATCATTATCATCATCACTATTATCATCATCTTCATCTTCATCATTGTCACTTGTTCTCAACGTCTGTTGGGTCCCCTTGCATATTTCGCATTTTCTCGTTATATCTGATTTACTGCTATTCTTTTTCTTCCCCGAAAGGTGGGTTGTTTTCTCCCCGCTTCCATCTTCATATCATATACGCCAATATCAAGTTGGGAGGGAGACATGAACCGTTGCTGACAGCTCAATCGTTTCATGGCAGCAGATATATAACCTTTCAAAAAGATAACTCCCTATCAAAATGAGCGCTGAAGAGACAAAGAGCACTCCCGTCGAGGAGAAGAAGGAGGAGCAGCCTAAGAGCTTGGCTGCGGATAGCATCTTCTCTATGTTCGGCGGTGGTCCCAAGAAGGAGAAGAAGGAGGAGAAGGAGGAGACCGATGAGCCTTCGGGTTCTTCCAAGAAGAAGACTGAGGAGGAGGATGCTGCTGATGTAAGTGCGATGTCCGGTGTTTTTTTTGTTTCGGGGGGGAGGGAAATTGGGCTGGAGATTCAGATGTTGGGTGTGGATTGGTTGTTCTAGGGTGTTCTGGCATACCGGTTGTCATTGTCCATGTTTGTCGGTTGTGATATTGAAATCATCAACCATTTGCGAACACGCTACATCCACATCTACATCGCTTTTTTTTTCTTCTTTCAATTCATACATAAGACTAACCAGCTATCTTATTTGATTTCTGCAGGAGGAGGAGCCTGATGTCCATTTCGAGCCTGTCATCCACCTTACCGAGAAGGTCGAGATCAAGACAAACGAGGAAGATGAGGAGTCACTATTCAAGATGCGCGCTAAGCTCTTCAAATACGACAGCGACGCCAAGGAGTGGAAGGAGCGTGGTACTGGTGATGTCAAGTTCTTGAAGCACAAGGAGACTCAGAAGATCCGTCTCGTCATGCGGAGAGATAAGACCCTCAAGGTCTGCGCCAACCACTACAGTAAGTTCTTCCACCAGACCAATTCGCAGGTGTTACTTCCTTGCTGCACTTTGTACTAACATTCCCATAGTCACCCCCGACCTCAAGATCTCCAGCAACGTTGGTTCTGACCGCAGCTGGATCTGGAACACCATGGCCGATGTCTCTGAGGGTTACCCTGAGACTCAGACTTTGGCTATCCGCTTTGCTAACAGCGAGAGTGAGTGACCACTTCATTTGTTCCATCAGAAAACAGCATATACTGATACTCTTTTTTCTCTCTTATCTAGACGCCGCTGCTTTCAAGGAGGCCTTCGAGAAGGCTCAGAAGGAGAATGCTCCTCTCTACGCCAAGGAGAAGAAGGAGGAAGAGGAAAAGGCCGCTGAGGAGAAGGCTGCCGAGGAGAA